GAAAACATGCCTTTAGAGGGTGAGATCTTCTGCTACATGCTTTTGCCTTATTGGCCCATTTAACCTAAACCTTCCTGAAAACTCCCACTGGAAGAGACTGGAATTCCTCACATGTCTAGGTGAAAAGGATTACATACATACGTTGAAAAGCTATCTTCCAGCTAAGAAAACATGAAGTCAGGGAGGTATGTGAAGGTGGCAGAAAATATGCCAAATTATCTTTCAAATATTTCCTGGGAGTGGGAGGACGGGAGCCATAAAAGCACAGGGAAAGAAAGGAGAAAGAGGGCATCCGAGAAGTGTAAGGTTTACATGTACCTATCACAAAAGCCTAAGCGCCACCCAGTTTCAGATAAACAAAGAGATAAAGGGAAAAACACAAAGAAGGTGCAGAAGGACTTCAAGTCCAACTTCAAGTCTATCCACCATTGTTGTTTTTTTTTCCCCTCTCAGGTATAAATCCTACAAAAGGAACCACAGAGAAAAAGAAATCACAGCCACTTATGTTGCCCACAGACATCTTGAAGCAGGCCAGCCGAAACAGATTTCCTGGGGAAAAGGCTCTCAGAGGGGACAAAGATTTTGGTGCTTTTGTTGCACTTTTTTTCTCATATGCAATTACAAAGTCAGAGAAGCCATTCTCAGCACTTGAAGCTGTTTCCAGTTAAAGAGGAAGGATGCATAGATATGCCGAGGCTGGGACTACAGCATCAGTGATGGAGAGCAGCTTTCCAGTTTAGTAACTCTGACACTATGAAATGAGACAAAGTGCATTTCCACAGCTCACACTGTATATCACACCTGATGAGAGAGTAAAATTTACTCTCTGGTAAGACTGAATCTTCCAGTCAGAACCCCAGCATGGCCAAGGGTGCTTAAAATTAGTTGAAACCTGTTCAAACGCAGTCAACCCCCTACCAAAACCACGTGAATCCCTTACATGACCACAACATGAGAGAACTACCCTGTCTCCACTTCACATTCATGATGTAATTATGAGGGACTAACGCCAAAATTAGGTAAAGTCCGGAGGGTCTAATAAAGCCTGCAGGCTATGAACAAGTGAGGCAGTCTAGGCTGCATCCTCAAGTTTTGTTTGCACACTTGCATATTCCTCTAAACTGTACCATTTTAAACAGTTATAACTCAGACAACCCAATTCCCTTCTCAATTATTTAGGTGCAAATCAGGAGTAACTACTGAAATCAATAAGGCTGGCGCTTAGGAGGGCAGAGCTCTGACCTACATACCACTGCAATTAGCTCATTGAGTCTGTCTTGTGCAACCATAGGATATGTATGTCAAATTATTAAAAGGGACGGTCACAGGGAGCAGGAGGTAACAGCAGATCCAAGATCCAGGCTCCAGGTATTTTCTTTTTTAAGCCACCACTTTGCACAAGCAAGGGAACTACCCGCTGTGGGAGCAGGGGGACTGCAGTGGGAGCAACACCTCAGGCTTTTAAAAATACCATCTCTCCAAAGGACATGTTTCTTTTAAACCTCATTTAAACATCATTTAAACATCTTTTACTCGGTCAGCTGATGCAGTTAGGGAAAAAGACATGATTTGGAGCACGTAAGCCCCTCAGAGCATCAACACATCCATATACGCAAGCACCAAGTCCCCGCGGCACTTCTACCTGCCCAATTTTGGGGTGGGAAGGAGAGGAGGACCAAGGCCTGTGTGTGAACAAAGGGAAGACTGCAGAGACAACCTGCCACCCGTGTAACAGCCTTGGTAGCTCTCAGTAACCAGACAGGTTAAATATTTGCATGGCAGACATCAGAGGAAAATCTATAATGCAGCAAAGACCTCAAAGGCACTTACACTGCAGCAACCTGATCCTGCAAATACCTTCACACAAAGGACTTCACACACATCGGAAGTCCCTCTAGTGCTGATAAAAGACCCTTACATGGCATCAGGGTCCCGCCTCTGCCACCAGCCACATGGCTGGATGCACTGGGGGCACGGCCTTGGACACAGAGGTGTAAGCCTCTCTGCTCCCTGGCCCTCCGCATGGCTGTCTCCTCACCCTGCCTACCTGCAACCGCCCTGAGGGCTTAGTGTGATAGAGAAAAGTGCAGGATCACAGCACTTTTAACAAAAAAGGGCTAATATTCCCCTTCCTGGCACACTCTGGGAAACCCTCCTCTGGGTTCCACCTCTGCTCTGGCTGGTAGGGGAGCTTCAGTCTCTAGGAACGCTTGCAGGCACTCTCATCTGCAAACAACCATTGAAGACCAAGAGGGCGCCCTGTCCCGTTGCCAGGATGCTGGTCTCACTGGGCATGTCTACATGACACGAGGCCAAGACATGCAGAAATATCCATGCTGGTGCCAACCACACCAGCCTGAGCACCCAGCCCAAGACAGATGTGCGAGCATGACACACTCCCACAGGCACTTAACCCTGTGAGGTGATTTTTGGGGGATAAAATATCACTTGCACGTTAGTGAAACCTCCACTATTTCAGCCTGTCACACCGTTACAGTGGTCTCACCTGTTTTGGTGTGTCTGGGATACCCACCCAAACACTTCCACTACCAGTTCAGCGGTGGCTAAAAAAACATGTCCAAGGAATGACGCTGAGCTGCTGGTATCCTCCGAGCATCTCAAGGACCACCTGTAGGAGATGCATTGCTTATGCCAGACTGACAATATCAAGGCAAAAACAAGATTCTGAAATAAAGTACTCTTTTCAGCATTGCTCACTGGCTCCTGAAGGATGACAAAGCTTCCAGATGTAGTCCCTATAAAATAACTCTATTCACCATGTCTTAGGAGGAGCTTAAATGAAAATTTGCTAATTTGAGGTCTTTAATCAGACCACGCACATGAAAGCTGTTTAATAATTTAGCTGACGGAAGACCAGAATAAATATGAAGGTAGGTCTTACAGATTTCGCCCAACTTAAATAAAAAGTTAAATCAAAGAACCTGTCATTCTGTTAAAAATAAAAAATAAAAAACACCTAAGGACAACATTA